AGAGAGAGAGAGAGAAAGAGATTACAAATAGAGATTACATTAATATTTCTCGCGCACTTTTTTAGAATATTTTTCACATTCTTAGCAACATAACAAAATTAAAATGTAAAATGATTTCAATATCGGGGAAAGACAATTAAATTTCAACTATAATGAAATTCTACACTCGTATTGCAACAGACTACGTATGAATTCACTTCTTCAACTTCTTTCAACAACTTTATGCTATTAGTAGCTATCATTAGTATAGAATCTATTATAGTTTATTACGATGCACGTTTATTTTCCGTTTATGCGAATAACGTAATAATGGCTCTAGTAATGGATATAAAGGATATACGTCATACTTGTAACGATCAAGGGGTGCATTTACCCTTGCATCTAAACATATTGTCATATTCCCATCGAATAAAACATTTATTCATGTTCAGAAACGTTGTGGAAACAATTCAGTGAATAAAAATATAAGCAATTATATTTCTTTTATTTAGTATCAAGAATATGTAATATCAAGAATATGTTTAGTTTCATGATTTTATACGTAACGGTTATGTTGTGCTTTTTCATTTGTTTGAGAATGCAAAGAGTGCATTGTCCAGACGTATCAATAAAAGATGTGAGATGTTTTAGAAAAGATATTTTTTCTTTCCATTAACCACAAAAATATGATTATCTTTTTGCTTCAATCTATAATTATTATTAATAAATCACAATTAATTAATTGTTATTAATTGTAGTCTAAAGCTTGAATGTGGTTTGAAGTTTAATATTTATAATTTGAAGAAATCTGGATGGATCGGAATGAAATTATAGAATCTGCACGAAAAATAACTTCTACAACCTCTCTATATTATAACATACAATCTAATACAATTCTATATTACTAATTAATCTGATGTTTCCCAAAGCGCAAAGTATGCAGAATTTATCATCACAATGAAACTATAATGCAAAAATATTCTGAAAGCTTTCTGCAATATCAAATTTAACTTTACATGTTTTTTAAGACAAGTTATATCTTGCATTCAAAATTATATATATTTCGAAAATGTATAAAAAATATTTAAGATAACTTTTTAAGAGATTTTAAACAAAATCTATAAACAATTGAATCAATATGAAAATTAATATGAAAATTTTGCTCGAAAGATGCGATCGACTGATTTTCATTTAATTCAGATTTATATTCATCATTTCATAATATAAATACTTCTATCAAATTAATTACATCGAGAAATAATATGTTATCAAATAAACCTTATGACACTTAACTAACCTTAATAAAATAAATATATTTTGCAATGAAAAATTTATTTATGATATGATATTATCGTATACACAGCAAAGTATTGCAAAAGAATACATAAAGTTTCAAAATTGTTGCAAAAGATTAAATGCAGAGAAAGATGCCTTCAAAAGCTGTAGAAAAAGAAGTTGAATAATACATCTGTATCAAAGATATAATAAAAAGATCTTCAACCTGTAAACTGACATTTGCATAAGATTCCAAAGTCAATGTTACCAAGAAACTACTGGTAAACTTAACGGGTTTTGTGCTACGTCTCATAATCATCAATAGATCCTTTCGTTCATCGATTGTCATCAATATCCAGTCCATATGATATATCGCCTCGCTCATTTCAGCACTCTACGCAAGGAAAAATATTTAGAAAAATTGTGTTAACTTAAGAAACTGCAATTTATAGACAATAATCTTGCAGAGTCTTTTACCAGGTTTTTTCTCATTTACTAATACTACTTTCTATCCAAATAATAATTTTTAACAATAATAATAATTACCTTAAGCATAACTTCGTTTCCGGCCCAGCAGTAAATAAAAATCTGTACAAACATACTGAATATGAAAACGATCAAGGTGGTGACGTCTGTAAATGTCAAATGAGACGACAGATGGTACAAACATGAACACAACACCAATATACTGACGAAAAATTGAACAAAGATAACTTGGCTGAACACATCATTGATCATTTCGGCAAGTCTATAAATGTTTATACATTACATATATCACAAATAATATATCGCACTGCAAGTATAATCAGAAAGTTAAAAAACATATATTTACAATATATCATGCACATATCATCCACTATTTTTGATATATTTAATATATTTAGTAATGTAATATGTATGTATATAAAGTAATTTTATCAACCGTTTGCATATGACAAATACCTGATTATACACAGATGGTGGGAAATGTGTTCTGATAATTTGCCTGTTTGATGCGACGCATTATTCAACGAGTTTTTCCGAGATAATTCCTTCTCTCTACTTTTTGCCATCTTTTGAAGTCGATGCTTCAAAATTGCAAATTGTGCGCACGTTTGCAAACAAAATCCTAATATGGTAGTTTCTGTCGCAACGTTTACAACCGTGGCAATAATCACAGCTACAATCTCTTGAAGGGATGTAAACCAGTATAAAAGAAACGAAGTGCAGTGCCAAGGTACCCATGTATTAAAAGGTAATTGGCCGTCTAAAATATCGAGCATTCCTCCCGTCACAGCACCCATCGCCGAAAATGTGCATAAAAACTACGTAACGCATGGAATATGATCTGCGTTACGTTTTTTTTTAAATTATAAATTATATAATAATAATCATGTACTAATAAAAATTATGATATGATAAGAGCGGCACAAGGCTGCGATAGAGGCACAAAATTGCTTCGAAATTGCCTCGAAATGATTTGATAATCCTACTCATTGTCAGTAAGCGATGAGAGAAATATTAATTTTACAAATTGTACATAATTTATACGGATATTGTAAATGCGTATAAATTATGTACAATTGTTAGGTATTTCTACTGTAATTTGCTTATTTGTCTATGTAATTCTATTAGATGGCTGTATATACCATCAACACGTACCATCTTACCAAGGCTAATTTTGTTGAAAGTACATCAACGATCGGATATACTAACCTGATTGAACGATCGAATTTTATCTGGATATTAATCTCTTCTTCGTTGCAAGCTCTGCAAGGTTTCTCTTGCAATATTTTGATCAAATTGATAATTCGACCGCGACGGAATATAGCAACAATCACTTTGAAAAATACGCTGATCATCGACATGAAAAATAAAGAACTCGATGCGAAATCTTCCACGTTATCGCTAACAAAGATGATATATAGCAAAATAGTCAGCATCAAATATATCAACAGATATATCGACATAAGGGTGAATAAGCTATACAGCAACTTGGAGTACTTTGAAGACCATTGGATTGGTCGCCACAAACCACTCATGGAATATAATAAGAAATTCAGAGATAATATCTGCATTTCTACAGTTTCTATAATGAAAAGTGCTAGTAGTTTTCATATTTGATAAACAAGATAAATTTTATTGTAAAACGTCTTGTGCCAAATGTTTACTATTATATAATAATAATCACATTCTAACGTATACTATATTATACGTGACGTTATTAAAAGATATTCTTTACGGGAAAAAAAAAAAAGAGAGAACTCTTCTTTCGAAAATAGCTTTTTCCCGATTATTTTCTTCAAATGTGTGCTTAATATAACACACACGTACACGCACACGCGTACACAGATTATTTTTAAAAAATATTTTTGTAAACCTACTTTTCGCAAATATCCTTATGCAGAATAATTTTGTACCAATTCCTTATGATTAGCGTTTTTTAACAAAATGGAGTCGTGTGTATAATTATTTTTATTTATATGTGCATCGGTGAAAATGATTAATACGCAGCAATATAAGCGTACAAACGCGACAAAGGTTCGTAAGACACTATGGATAAATGCGTTTGCGGCAACCCTGTCGTTCCTATGCGGCTCAAAATTAATGATTCATTAATAACTTGATGTAACGGCATCTTGTCGATACCTTATACCAGACTTGTAATTATAACAATGATATCATTTGAGGATATAATTGAGGAATGTTGTCTCTTCCGATGAGTTCCAACATATTGTACGTATTGCACATGTTCCCAGGAAATATTTTATCTGAGGAATTCTGACAAATATAACGTTTACTCGATTTATATATTTTTGCATTTTTTTACATTTACATCTTTGCCATGTATTGCGAAATAATATTTACTTCTTACAAATATCTCTTTCTTATTGTGGAAAAAATTTTCTCTAAGATCAATATAATACATGATATTGCGTCAGAAATATTATATATTTTACATATACATGCCACACATGTGTCATGCGTGTGCGTATATAGTATATTTAATTTTGAATAAAAGAATCACGATTATTTTTTAATGAAGAAATTTACCAGTTAATTTTTTACCACCTTATTTTTCAACATAATATTTCTCTATAACCGTTAATTGTAGTCATTAAGAAATCTAAATTATAACGTTCGTAAGAATACAGCCGATATATTCACCCTCTCGTCGCAACTATAATTATACATCTGCGTTTATTTCTCGTCTGAAGCAGTCTGAAGCAAATATTTATCTGTCTCCTCGTGTCATCGTTTTCTCGTTCGCTAAAAAGTTCATTTTGTTTCAATATAAATAAGCGTTCGAGGTCTCCGAATCGAGATCTTTTGAATTTTCATACATTTAGATCGTGTTCATTCACAGTTACCATTCCATTTTACTGTGTGTGTGAATTTTAAACGTATATACGCTTTTTAATAACGGTTCCGGTAACGTTACAAAAAGATCCTCTTTGACCGGCGAGACCGGAAGAGATGGAAACGGTTCGTCGGTTTCAAGGTAAATCACATTGACCGTGAGCGAAGCTCACCTCCTTAGAAATTCAAAGTTCGGACGTTTCTCTCCTTCCCGTCTTTCTCATTTCGCTCGCTATATCGCCCGTAATGTCTCGGTGACACACTTCTGATCTCGGAGCTGCTTTTCTGTGTTTCACCTTCGGCTCGCACAAGAGTTCAACGATCCATCCAAAACCGTGATCCGCGGTAGACGGGCAAGCAGGGCGGTAAGCAGGCAGGCAGGCAGGCAGGCAGGCAGGCAGGCAAGCACCGCTAGTAGGACACTGTCCTCAATAGCACGTTGAAAGTACGTGTGGTGGACGTCGGTGATCTTACGAATGCTCTCTATCGACCTGTATAACGTATCTCTGTGATGGTGCCCTCGGCGCACGAATAGACGGGCGGTTCATTATATTTGAAAAATATAGCGCCTAGAGCTGACGCGAAATCGCTTCTAATGGGTGGATGAGCGAGTTGGTTGGTCGGTTGGTTCGTGTGCCAAACATCAAGAACGAAAACCTCTTCACCTCAATTAACACCGGCGCTAGTAGTAGTAATGTTGACTAGTAGTGGTAAAGTGGGTTGTAGTAGTAGTAGTTTGTAACCGATAGCCTCGCGCACGCGAGTTTCATACGTGCTCGTCCTCTTTACGTGTAAACTGTCTGTTAGATCGCAAAATTCATTTGTCACGCGTCAAGAATAAAAAGCCTCGACTAAATCTTATTTCACTTTAAGTAATAGCGAGCTTTCGAATAAACCAGCAATTTGTCATATCGGCGATTCGAGAAGAAATAATATATAATATTTTTAATTTAAGACATTTCTCTCATAGAACACCGTTTTTCATCGAGCTAACGCAAAGATTTTTTCAAGAGAAGAAAAAAAAAAGGAAAAAGGATGAAAAAGAAAAAAAGGGTAATGAGGGAAAATGGAGGCAATTTTCTTATTACCTATAGAATTTATAGACACAATAAATACTCGTTTAACATGTAACAAAGAATTCGGCATAAACATTCTTCTCGAGGCGCAATTGATTTTTGTTTAATCATTCTTACGAGGATGTTTTCTCTCGATGTGTTGTGTGTCAAATTTTATTCGTTGACTGATGATTTGAGAAAAGTTAAATATTTCCTACGACTTTTATGGGTCGCGCGTTTCACACTTTTTGTTACATCGCGGTGCGAAATCTGCGTTCTCGCGTCACATCCGCGAGAGATTTTCAGATATCACGCTAAATGCGTCCACGCTAAATGTGCGCGAAATAACAATTCGCCGCGATACGCTTGACGGCGTTGCTCATTGTATACTCGGTCGACAGTGTGGTAGTACGGAGATGAGACAGTAAACGGGCTGTCTCCTAGCTGGGACACATTGTGCCAGTGGTTGGTCTACAACGGTGAGCAGACAGCAGCAGATACCAGAGCGACGGAGGAAGTGGATTTCATTAGTAGTGGTGGTGGCGTCGACGGTGGTGGTGCTTGGGTGCTCGGGTGCTCGCGGGTGCTGGTACTGGTACTGGTATTGGTACTGGTACTGGTACTGGTACTGGTACTGGTGCTCTTGATGTTGCTTACCGATGATAGTAGTGAATTCACGGCATATTTCGCTTTTCTCTTTGTAAGTTCACAATATCATCACACATCTCTCCGTCGCTACTCTCTTTCTCTCTCTCTCTCTCTCTCTCTCTCTCTCTCTCTCCTCCTCCTCCTCCTCCTCCTCACGCTGAGAGATCTACATCTTTCTCACCTCCGTAACAAGCTGGTACCACACGACTGGCTTTTGGGACCTTTGGTCTCACTGCCATTCAACTCGTCTCTCTCTCTCCTTTCTCTCTCTCTCTCCTCTCTCCTTCCCCCCTCTCTTTCACTCTTTCTTTCTTGTTTTTCCTTCTTCTTTTGATTTTTTGCATCTTCCGCATATGCCGTTCATGCACCAATGTGATTGCGTATGACCGAAAAAAAAGTGTGTGTATCCTCTTCACCGACGTCGTGTCTAAACGAGCCGATATACGGGAAGTAACGGGAGGAAAAATCAGTTGAAAAAACTCGCCGCTCACGTATACTGCCTCGAGTGTCGCTTTCGTGAATAGTTCTGCGCGCAAATACAAATACGAAAGATCGCTAATTTTGCGATCGGATTCCACAGATTCCACAGTGCGATATCTCTTTATTACTGATACAACTTTAGACCATCAGGTAATGTAAAGTTCTAACAGTAAGATTTTTTACGAGAGTGAGATGTTATAATACTTTATATATTCCCGCGAAAAAAAGGGAATCGAATATGAATTAAAGATAAAGTCATTTTATTCCTTAAATATGCTGAAAATGTAGCATGTATTTGCATGTAATGCTGGATGCATGTTTTCAAAAAATTACGTAGGATATTAAATAACGTGCCAGTATATAATTTATGCAAGATCTTAACAAACTTGTGCTTTTGTTGCTTATACAAAATACTTTAATTATATGACATGTGTATGTATATCTATGTGTATGTATACATACACGTGTCATATGATACATATTCTTATTTATTTAATTCTTTCATGTCGATTAAAGCATTAAAGAAAGAAAGACACTTTTTTAATTATAAAGAATTCTTAATTGCATCTCACGCAAATCTATGTACGTACGTCTATCGGTACACATTATGATATATTTGCAGAATGTATCGCGTACTACTTTTTCTCGTCTTCGTCTACGGAAGCATTCGTGGAATGCAATTTCCTAACAAAGGAGATGTACCTCGCCTGTATCATCCGCGCTTTCTAATGTACGAGGAGCCATACAACATCGAATTCAAGTATCACAATTACGAGCAGATGAGCCGTTTTCTTCGCGCAACGTCTCTTCGATTTCAAAATCTCACCGCGTTGTATTCGATAGGAAAGTCGGTGAAAGGTATGTTATCTTCTTTACCATATTATAAATCTCCAAATCGATTGTAGGATAAACGACACGTTCCTAGAGGAAGACATTTTAAGTTTTATTTTTGACATTGTATTTGTACATTTTAACCATTTTTAATCACTTATTTTTGAAAAGTGGAAGAAGAGCGGGATATAATCAAGCGATATTCGTATAACAGGTCGTGATTTATGGGTAATGGTCGTGTCATCATCGCCTTACGAGCACATGATCGGAAAGCCCGATGTAAAGTATATCGCTAACATACACGGAAACGAAGCTGTGGGACGCGAATTAATGCTACATCTCATTCATGTACGTAATTATGTCAAGCGTTGGAATTTCCACATCACGATGATTGTCCGCGTTCACAATAACGAGCAACATGTACAATATATGTTGTTATAATAATTCGGTTTATCCGGTTTATAATAATACCAAGAGATTTTTTTTCGGATAGAAAAAATTTTATCGGACACACCAAACATTATGATCATAGTGATGTTAATCAAATTTCAAATAACAACCCTTTGTAATTATCAAAATCGATTAATATTACCAATATTAAATTGATATGTATAACAATCATCATTTGACATTATATGACGAATGATACATATATGTTTCTTATAAATATAATCTTTTCCTTTTCGTTTCTTTTTAGTTTCTCGTGACGTCATACGGCTCAGATGCATATGTTACGTGGTTATTGGATAACACAAGAATTCATATTTTGCCGTCGATGAATCCTGATGGCTTTGAAGTCTCTAAAGAGGGACGCTGCGACGGTGGTCAAGGCAGGTTAGATTTTTACATAAAATATTTTATCTTCGAACGACTTTTACTTGTTGATCAATCAAATTGCCAGTCAATTATTTGTTAAAATTTTATTTTCCAACTTAACGGCCAATATATTTTCAAATATTAAAAGTATGTTGCGCTTTATATCTCACAACACGATCACAGATTGAGTTGTATTTATTTTGAATTATACACTGACGAATATATACGTCGTTAGATTATATGCCATTCCGCTGATTTTTGCTAAAGGAGATGTCTTTTTGAAATGTACCGATTTATCGCTTTATGGCCTTTACGTTCTTTAATCTCTCATTCATGTTTGCACGAAAGAAAGAAGCACACCTATTTTTAATCTTTTAAGCACACCTCTGTGATTCGATGTATGATTCTACAGGTATAACGCGCGCGGCTTTGACTTGAATCGCAATTTCCCAGATTATTTCAAGCAAAATAATAAAAAGAGCCAGCCAGAGACCGAGGCCGTTAAGGAGTGGGTTTCAAAAATTCAGTTTGTGCTCTCGGGCAGTCTGCACGGTGGTGCGCTCGTGGCCAGCTATCCCTTCGACAATACTCCAAATTCGCGTAAGTTGAAACACCTTTGAATTATCATCGTGTTGAAATCGGAGCTGAAATCGTTAGAAATCGAAAGAACGGATAATGTAGCTCGCTCGATCGCCTGTCCGAGCCACGGAATTGCATCGATCGCGATCCGCGATCGTAACACCGCACTCGCGATCGTGATCGTGATCGTCGTTTGTTACGCGAGATTCCAAAAGAAGGAAAGAAAAAAGAAACGGAATACCGGAATAAATAGAAAAAGGATAAGAACAGAGGCATTTCTTTATTTTTCCTCTCTCTCTCTCTC